AGCTAGGGAGAGGGAGGGGAGGCACAAGGGCTATCAGCTAGGGAGAGGGAGGGGAGGCACAAGGGCTATCAGCTAGGGAGAGGGAGGGGTCCCAAAGGACACACACAGCAAGTCCACAGCTCCTGGTTTATCGTAATTATAAGCACAGTCTTTCCAGAACCCTCCGATGACATTTGCATTCTGTCCTCACTTCATTTACTCATCTTCAGCAATTTATGCTACGTGTTCGAAAGGCTACAAAAAAAACGTGGAGATAATATTTGCCAGCCTGCTTAAAAATTCACTGTAAATAATACAGAAATTAAACTGGGTAACCTTTGGTGCTTTTACGGTCGGCCTTGGAGTCTTGGGCGGAGGAGGAGGAAACAAGTTGACAAATTTACCGGAATCAGACGGGTCTCATAAGCTTTTTTATGAGAAGGACAGAGAGCAGGATGATTTTGTGATGAGTTATGAATCCAGTGCAGACAGAGGCTGTGAGTCATGCACAAACTACAATATCGGTGTAATTCAGACTCCTAGAGGACACTGGTGAAACTACAGCCTCTTGTGACCTTTGGTGAAGCAGAACTTAAACCCCCCCACACCCAGTCCACCTGTGCGCTGCGGCCATCCGAGCTCACGGGTCAACTGGCAGATTCCACGCCAAGCACAAGCTCATCCCTCATCTAAATGATAATTTAAATCACGTAAGGAGCGGAGTCATAGGGAGACTGGCTAAAGGTGGATGTCAGGGCCCTCCCCCATGTCGACAGAGAGGCCTCCCAGTCGCCAAGCAGATTCCAGTGAAAACTGCCTTTCGGCTCGGTGTGCAGCCCTGAGGTAAGAACAGGGTCACCGCATTTTGGCTGACGTGACGGCATCCAGGCCCGTTGGTGCCCAGCCCAAAGTCCACAGTGGATGCCCAGGAATCCGAGCCTGGCTGAGACAAAGCCGGAGCGTGGGTCGGCTAGACGGTAATTATCTCGTCCCACTGGAGACGTGCACCGTTTCAAACGCCTTTTTCGGTCTTTGTGGCCATTCTCTGCCGCTTTGGCGAGTTTCCGGGCTCCAGGGTTTGTGTGGGGGGGAGCGCATTACTCATCTGTTCCCTTTGATTACCCACCGGGCCGGCGATTACCGCAAAATCAGGGTGACGGACACTCATCTGTGCTTAAGCGTCGGCCATTGTGGTGCGACGGAAAATCAATGAGCGCTTCGGCGCCGTTAGCGTCTCGGCAGCCAGACTGTGTGGGAGTCCGGCCCGGGGCTCGCGAAAATAAACCAGCGCGTCGTTTTATTAGCGAGCGACTGGCGCTAAAAAGCCCTCTGATAGCTCACAATCGCTATCAAACGACTAAATGACAGCCTCCCTGTCAATTAGGCCCCTCGCTTATAAACACAGCGGGGATCCAGCTGACATTTCAACGCTTGTGAGGCTTCTGACGACTAGAAATTATTTAACAAGCGTCCGCCCCAGCAGAGCGTCTTTGTTTTAAGATGAGAGACCCCCCCTCCCTCAGCAAAGATTTAGCCCTCTGTTCCGGCCATGCCGCAGTTAGGATACCCCTACCAAATACAACGCAGCCGTGGTAGCTGTTGATTGAATGCTGCACAGCAGCCATAACAACACCGACCATTCGGTGTTTGTGATCCAGGTCACAGACAGAACCATGACCAAACAAGGAAGCAAAAATATAAGCTTAAAGGCCACACTAGAATAACCGTTTCCCACACCAATGAAAGTCAAGCTCCTTTAATCACCAAGCAAGACATAGTCAGCGTATGCAGCCCTTTTGTTTGCGTTAATGCGCTGGTTACTGTTAATAATAGCAGCGAATCTAACACCCTCAACCAAAAAGCTGTAATGTTCCTAACAGAGCAGCTGCTCTGCCCAGAAATCGTAAAGCTGAAAAGTTTTCTAATGCAGTACGTCTTTTATTAAATGTTGGATAAACAGCCGTTTATTGTTACTTTTTTTATCAACTGTATAAAATAATGTTATTTTTCATACAAATCAACTCAGATGAAACAATATAAAAATGTACTTTTTCAGGGTTCCCAACTCGCAAGCATCAGCAATGACACGCTTTCAGACTCACGTCAAGGCAAGAAATCTTACGGCATATATATATATTATTCAATTATAAACCTAAAATTAGCTACATCAAAAACGTTGGGGTAGTTTGCAAACCCAAAGTAATACAACCATTACATATATGTCACTTTTTAAATCTTTTCGAAATAAGACCGCCCATACCCAACCGTAATGGTGAATAAAGCGATCAGTTCTTTTGGTACTTATGTTAAAAGCAAGGCTTTTATTTTATTACCGGTGTTGGACTAAGATTAATTTCTCAAGATTAATCTATTGAAACCAATAGTTAAATCAATGAGGAAAAAAAACATACAACATAAACACGAGTGTATTATGGGTTTTATGGCTTTTTTGGGGGTGATAGTGATTCTGCTGCTCTGAGGATTGCTGACTATCCCATTGTTCTCTTGGTGGGTGAACGGAATGCTAACGCAGTGCCCATTAGCAAAAACAAAAGGTGTGGTACGGCGTTAAAGGAGATCGGAAAAATGCTGGTGCTTTTAGTGCTAACAGCTACAGGCACATACTGGACAGAAAACAGCATCGAGTTTCCTCACCCATCAGTGTGACAGTAATCTGTTAATATTATAAATACTTTCCCCCTTAATTAAACATGATTAAATTTATTCTTTAGATGCTTAAACACAAGAATAACTTGACTTGACTTCAATCGAATCAGCCAGTTGGGCAACAGTGATTGATCCAGCCCATGTGACTCATGCTAGTGGTTTAATATGACCGCTGGCGCTGAGCAAGTGAGTAAACTTAAAGGCCTCTTTCACTGCTCCGGTCTCTACGCGCTGCAGGACATCATCGCACATCTGGCCACCACCTCCAGTGACAGAAATCACACCACATGTTCTGCTGAAATCATAAATACCCCATCGATTGTGTATCCAGCTGACCTACTTGTCCTGAAGCCTTCCTCAATCACACTGCCCCCTCCCCTTGCCAAGCAGCCGCCGCTATCGATTTTCCATTACTGTGTCATTGTGCGCTAGTCCTTAAACACACAGCGTGTGATGTATAGCTGCCTCCTTGCTTCATAAAGCATTGTATGTCACCTCCCCCTAGTGGTGAAGGTCAGCCAGTGCGCCTATGACTCCTTTACTGTTCAATTCAAATAGCTAAAGCAAATCAAGCAGAAGGGATGGTCTAAGGCAGGGGTCTCAAATTCCAGCCTTGTGTAGCTTAGATCTTTCTCTGTTCCATCACAAATGATTCACCTCAAGAACTGTGTGGTAATTAGCATAAGGAGTTGAATCAGGTGTGTTAAATGAGGGGAAACCCAAAAATGTGCAGGGCTCCGGCCCCCCAGGACTGGAGTTTCAGACCCCTGCTCTAAAGTATCATCCATTTCATTTACTTAACAGGTAGCCAGGTTACAATTATCCTCCTCATTTTTAAAGCCAAAAAAGGAACACTTTACAAACCATTAACAGTTCTATTTGCAGTCATATTATCCATATGTAAAAGTGTTTACTAATGCAAGTCTAACAGATGCTAATCATACATTAATTACACAGGCTAATTGCACTTAAGCAATCAGTAGCTGTGTGTGTGTGTAGTGAAATACTGAAGTCTGAAAGCTCATTTTATGGGGAAACATATTCACTGAAAATATAATTTAATCCCTGTTATAGAATTATGGAGGAGAGCATTTGGCTCTGTTTCCACCGGGGTCTCCAGACCTCACCGTAAGACAGCACGGCTAGACCTCTTTCAGAGACACAGGGATCCTTACTTTACCGTAAACTCGAAAAAGAAATGGCTCAGTTTGAGTTACCGTCCTCCTGCAGGGAACTGAGCTGGACAGTCTCACCGTGTAAACGTACACGGCGACTCCACAAGCTGGGCTCCGAGGTTCGGATTTAAGCAAAGCGGCTCTCAGAGATTTTTTAAGTTCGCCAATTAGAACTCGTCTTCTCCTGCGGATTCTCCTTTCTATTGGTCAGAGCTCTTGAGGCCCCGCCCCCCCGGCGGGTTGAAGGTCAGGCTCGGAGGAGCCCGTGAGGCTTACCTGGGCCCCGCTTGTCCCAGCCGCACACCATGGTGCCCATGCTGAGGCCCATGCCCTTGTACTGGTACACCATGTTGGCCAGCAGCTTGGACGCGGCCGCCACCGAGATGCGCTCCTTGTTGCGCAGCTCGTACACGCGGCACTGCCGTGCCAGCAGCCGCTCCCAGAAGCTGCAGTCCGCCGCGCCGCCCGCCATGGTGCCCAGCAGGTACGGGTTGATCTCGATCACCTTCTTCACCGTCTGCGAGGCGATGTAGGAGCCGGCCGTGGCCCGCGAGTCCACCGCCACGATCACGCCGTGCTGGAACTGAAAATGGAGCATTTAGCTACGCGGAACCTTGTACCACAGTCGGCGAGACAGGCGCAAGCTAAGCGCATCTGAGCTGTGGAATCCCTGATGGTCTATTTGGGATAACAAGGCCATCAAAACCTCATGCTTTGCCGGTTTCCTACAGAGAGTATTCACATGATGTCACAAGTGGGGGGAGGTTGCTACGGTTACATCCAGTGAGTGGCAGCGTTAGCGTTAAGCTCGGGTGCCACAACAACACATCTAAAATAGGAAAGAGCTGTTGTGTGACTGACTACTAATCAATTTAACGACAAATCAGAGCTCTGTTTTCACAGACTGCCGAAAACTAAGGAGAAGCAGCAAATGTATCGCTGCAATCCACAGAAACAACTGGAATCCAACTGGAATCCAACTGGAATCCAGGCTCCAAAGCATGGACTGATGGTTGCCATTTCTGGCCAAATAAAAGTTGTAATAAAATAAAAATCTCTTTACAAACCTGTCCACATACAAGCAGAATATCCACTACTGTCTTCGTTACTAATTTTACCAACAAATTCCGCCTTCAAGTATGATCAAGGACCAAGGCTTTTGTATGCCTTCAGGCTTTGCCTAGTGCATTTCCCCAACATCAAAATCAGGCACATGTAGTTCAGTTTCAGTTTCAAAGGCTTCATTGTCATTCCTATACATCAACACGCCGTGCAAAGTAAAGGAACGAGATGCCATTCTTTGGGTCCCAATGCAGAGTGCAGAGAAACTGAGATATAAGTTAAAGCAATGGCATGAAAAGTAGCAGAATTATAATAAACAGAAATAATCATATTTTTTAAAATACAGGAAATCGATAATGCAAAGTGGCCAGAAAGTGACAGTGCAGTCTGAGTGCAATGAGGTGCTAAATGAGGAGGGGGGGGGGGGCACATACACAGATATCAAGAAGCCTGATTCTGGCCACATATGAATGCCCACGGTCGACTGGTTCTTTGCTATGGTATACAGATCCATGTTAAGTCCAGCAGCTTGTAATTTAACTAGATAATCGATTATTCTGCAGGTTTCCCAACTAAAATCAGCCATGTTGTGGCAAGATCTGCCACTCGATCCATCTGGGGGGGGGGGGGCAGCCTGTTCCAGCGAAAAGTGACATCATGCATACCCTCTATAGATACCACGGTTTGCTCCCACAGTCCATAAATTGGCTTCTATAAATTGGCTGTAATGTTTGACAGAATGTGTGAGTGTCTGATGAATAGAGCTGGGTATTGTCAGCTAGCCCATGATACAATACTCATCACAATACCAGGGTCACCATTCATTGCATCATGATATTTCCATTGTATTCTGATGTTTAACACTCCGATATAGAAATAAATTAACTAATAAAATTTCTAACGGCTCAAAATTGATTAACAGCCATTAACAGCTTATAACTACCAAGGATAAGTCAGTATCTTGAATAAAGTTGTTGCACGCCTCAACCCCCATTGTATAAACTATACATTTCTTTGTGCACACATAAAATACATTCTTGTTTTTAAAATGTTAAATGTGGAAAAAAAAAACAGAATGAAACATTTGACTTATATTTCAACATTTCAGATGTAGACATTTTTGCACTTCAGTGCACTTAGCACAGGCTACATAAACAGCAAATGTTGAGGAAAAAAAAAGTCTGTAAAAAAAGGTCGACACTGCCATCTGCCGATGTTAAACGGTAGTGCAATAAATTAATAAATCTAGGCAAAGGTTCGAAAAAATTCATGAAAAAAAACACGACAAACTGAATCAAAGTCATGGATTGAGACAGGCTCCAGCCCCCTTAGCCACCTGGACCAGGGTATGCTGCTAGATCGGGTGGGCAACCTGTTCCATGGAGTGCCGGTGTGGGTGCGGGTTTTTGGGGTGGCCTCTCAATCAGCCAATAACAGTGGGTTCCCCAGGACTGGAGTTGAGAACCACTGTTTTATTATTGGCTGATTGGAAGGTCATCCCAAAAACCTGCACCCACACTGACCCTCCATGGACCAGGTTCTCACCCCTGTGATAGATGATGGATGGATGGGCAGACTTTCCAAATCACATTAGAGCTCTGGGGGTACGTGGAATATTAATTCACTTCGTAAATCTCTAGGGACACAAAAAAACAATCTCTACAAACTAACAATTTAAAGCACAACTTCGAAGCCAACCCAGAACCTGAGCACAGCATCTTCAAACTTTGAACATGTCCGCCCTGTAAGTTATATTACTTCATGGCAACATTTCTAATATGAATACGTGAACTGCTTCTGACAGACGAACTTAAACTTCTTGTGAAACGGTGGCCTTTAAAGTTATTTGTCACAGACCGTTGCCATTCATTATGTCAGACTTTGGCCTGTTTGAGCTTGTCTGTAGCAAATGTACAAAAAGTATCGTAATAATATAACAATTGTTCGACAACGTGGACTTACTTTGAAAGCCAACGTAGTGGTTCCATGGAGAAACTCAATCTTCCTCTCGGGGCCCTCCTCGGTCTCAGGGTAAAGGCCAGATTTAACAGCGAAGCTGGGCCCGTCTCCCGCTTCGGACGCGAATCCCAGCTCGGTCTGATCCAAGCCGCTTCCGAACGCAAAGGGCCGGTCAGAGCGACCGGAGAAATCTGCACAATCACCCCGTAAAACACTTGCCAGCGCCATCTTTGTAAGGATTAGTTGACAAATAACGCATTTCCGGTTTCTTACAGATAAGTCTGTCGCAACAAAGCGAATCGGCAACATAACTGCACTAACAATTGCGTTGGAGCGCCATCTACTGATTCGGATGACTTTCAAGCGGTAAAGCTGCAACAATGTCCTGCATCCGCAAATATGTTTTTAATAACTTCTAATCTGTCATGGAGGCTATAAAAAAATCCTTGATAATTGCAAATGAAAAATATAACAATCAAGCCAGTTTTATACAAAATTACAGTTTTGCTACAATGCAATTCCATTTCTCATAAATAAATACAAGACCGTAATCATCTGTGACTTTTCTGTCGCCCATTGGAAAAGCACAGTATACGTTTTGCAGGGATGATTAAAGGCAAACCTTTAAATCACAACAGAGTGGAGGAATGACAATTTATTTACAACAACACCTTATCAGATACACACTCTCAGCTTGAATAATTAATATTTACACAGCGCTAACCCCGCCTCCAGCCTTCCTGCCTCACTTGTGTTTCATGCCGCACTTTTCCTGCTCTCCCTGCCTCATCTTCCTCTTCTCCTTCTCCCTGTAGTACTCCTCCCTGAGGTCTTCCCTCTCTCTGCACCTCCATCCTTGGGAGTTGATGTAGAAGACGTCCACGCAGTTCCCGGAGTAGGCATCCCTGTGGGTGGCCCTGTACACTGCCTCCCGGGCAAGCGAGACGGCCTCGGACAAGCTGAGCCCCCACCGCAGCCCGCAGTCCAGCACGGAGTAGGCGTACGGGGACCCGGAGCCCACCGAGAACAGCTCCCCCTGCAGGCAGGTTCCATCACTGCACACATAGTACAGCCTCGGCCCGCCAGCCCATGGCTCCTGTCTGACTTCCTGCTCTGCTGCTGTAGCTCCTGCTCTGCTGCTCTCTGTCGTTGAGGCTCGGCTGAGGCCGCCATCCTCTACACGTCTGCTGTGTGTTGCATCTTCCTCTCTTTCACTCTCCGTTCGCTCTGCCTTTGCACCCAGCTCCTCCTCTACTCCACTGGCCTCTTGTCCCAGTGCAGTTTGCTCCTCGTCCGCCTCCGTCCTCGCTTCTCCTGCAGCCTCCCCCTCTCCCTCTCTCTCGCAGGCTTGTCCTGCACACTCCCTGGTCTCCTTCCTCCCCTTAGATCCACATCCTTCTTCTCCTCCCCAGCCTGTCACTTTCTCCTCCATCACCCACAGGTCTTCCACAGGTGGGGATGCCCCCCCACGCCCCTCATCCCAGCCGCACAGTGTGAGCGCCACACACAGCTCGGTGCCTTTGAATGGATGCAGCATGTAGGCGAGCAGTTTGGCAGCGCCCCCTACTGACAGACGCCGGTGGTTGCGGAGGTGGTAGAGGCGGCACTCGCGGGCCAGGATGCGCTGCCAGAGCATGCAGTCGGCTCCGCTGCCCGAGGTGGTGACCACCAGGTGGGAGTGAACCGGCATGATCTTCTGGACGGCCGGGCAGGCGATCAGGCCCGAGCAGCTTGCGCGACTGTCCGCCGCCGCGATGACGCCATCCTGGAACACAAACCCCAGGGTGGTGGTACCATGACACAGCGAGAATGGCGGCCGGACCGATGACAAGTATGAGGAGGATAGGAAGTCTTTGCCATTGAGGGAGGGAACATATAGCTGCAGCGGGCTGCTGCATTCCTGCAAAAGGTGACCCCCTCCCACCTCGTCAAAGTGTGGCATGGTATCTCCCACAAGCATGGAGAACAAGGCCGGAGAATTCCATCTGGGATATACGGGGGGCTTTCGAATGCCGCACACGTCTTGCAAAGCCATCGTTATCGATCCTAAAAATCCTGTAAATCTACTGGAAATCTTATAAATCTTAAAAACTTGGTAAATAATTAAATACAAATATTACGATGTCAAGAAGCTAATCTTTAGGTCTTTAGCTTATCACTCTACTGATTCTGAGCCCTCATTAAATGGTTCCTGACCAAAATCAGTCTACAGTTTGCAACAATAGAACCATTTAGCCTAAAAACAATAGAGAATGAATGGAATGCAACAACACAACCATAACTCCAATGCTAATCAATAAAACCAGCGCAAAAGAGTCTCACCCTAATCCTAATCTATCCAAACTCACTCACAGTGCCATTCCAGATAACTAGCACCCATCAAATAAACACACTTCCAGCTCCTCCAGTCTCTGTCCATAAAACTCCCACATAAAGGAGTGTTTCCCAGTATATATACCCGCGTCTGACGCTTTGTCCTGCCATGCCCTGCATGTGGAGTCATCCGCTCGCGGCAGAATGAAGCGCATCGGACACGCCACTCTTCCTTGGGGAAGCGGATTCACTTTCGCGACGCTTCGCTATCATGATGCTCTCAAATGAAATGTCACATCGATTTACTGGTCTGTAAGTTAGACATCGAGATCTTTGTTTGAAATTTGATTTGGTCTCAGAAGAAACAGACAGCACGGCACAGCTGTTGATTGTGTATACTGAGTTCAAAACCCCTTCTTGTGTGCCCCACACTCCATGCAGACGTGCTGTGAAGCTCTCCAGGTTCAGAGGCCGTAACTGGAAGATTGCTGGTTCGAATCCCACGACTACCAGAATAACCATATCACCGGTGGACCCTGGAGCAAAGCCCTGGCCACCAAAACTGCTTTATTTGTCACATATGACGCTTTTCCCACCTGCCTACTGAGTTAGAAAGGAAACACATAAAGCAAAGAAAAAACAGTGTAAGACAGCTGATGATAAATAATATTCAAATAACAATAAGATAAACAGTTAAGACAATAAAATAAATAGTAATGAAATCAGTAACTGTAAAATGAAAATGGAAAATGAAAATTGTGGGATAGTATGAATTGCATATAGCAAAGTAGCATGTTTGGTATAGGAGGCCTTAATTAGTATGCATATAGCAAAGTGGCATGTTTGGTATAGGAGGCCTTAATTAGTATGCATATAGCAAAGTGGCATGTTTGGTATAGGAGGCCTGAATTAGTATACAGACAGCCTGAGCTTAGAGACTCACCTGTATGTGCCTGGGTCTAACAGGAGAGCAAGATAGGTCATTGTACTTTAATCCACCTGTACAAAGGGGCAGCGTGTGGCTCAGTGGGCTAAGCCGTGTGCCTGTAATCACAAGGTCACCGATTCAAGGTCACCCTAACCCCAACCCCCAGCTCCCTGGGTGCCCCAACAGGTGGCTGCACTTTGCAGACAGCTTACTCTACAAAGAGCAAGTTGAGGGAGTCATAAAAAGAATTTCCCCACGGGAATTAATGAAGTATAAAGAAATAATACAATTAAGACATCCTATTCTATCAAATGGGAAACTATATCAATTACTTTACACATTTGTTACATGTATCACTTCCATTAAGCAATTACAGCAAAAACCTTCAGGTTAGTTCATGCATTTTGTAGTGCTCGTCTCTCTCCTCTATTCCTTGTATTTCCTTTGTAATTCTGTCATTGTTGTGGAAATGCAGAGATATAACGCCTGTGTTACCATGTTTCTGGTGTGTTTGTGGTACGATTCTTGTATGCATATGACTGGGTCTCTTCACTGGAACACACGGAAAAAGGTACTTTTACATAAGCCTGAAAATCAGTTTAAATAGCAATGGTGACCATTTAAAAAGTTTGATATTTGAGTGTTAAGCAGGTTTTTCTCATCTGACAAAGGATAGCAAAAAAAACCTCGTTCAGTAGCACTGTGCTGCCCCCTTATGGCAGGCATGTGAATTTGGCTGTGTGTTTTTTTTGTATCGGTGTTCTGTTGATAAATGCTACCGTAGTGCTAATCGATAGCCCTAACCATAACTCTTACTCAAACCCTAACCCTAACCCTAAGCCCTAAAACCTAACCCTAATCCGAAGACGACGGAACTGCACATGCTCAAAGGCTCGCTAGCACGTCTCGATAGGTAGTATTTTATGAAAGAACACCCTGTAGACGTGTCGTGGTTTTCTCTCATTATGTCAGGCCATGATGGAGGCCTGGTCATAATTCAGTCACCTTTCTCGGCCAATCTATGGAATGCTTTGATGCATAGGAAGGGACTCTGTCCTACTTGCATATCATGGAGAGGGGCACTGTCCTGCAAGAATATCATGGGGTGGGGCACAATCCTGCATGCACATCATATCCTTTTCGAAAGTTGCTGACTTCTTCCTGTACCAGTGTTTGAAGAAGGTATAGTGTAGAAATTGGCATTAGATCTTGTGGTTAATTTTTATACCACCTGGAAGTCTGAAAGATCCAAGAGAAGATACAAATAAAATACACACTTGCCTAATAATTCTGCACACAGTATAAAATCCAGTTGCAGCATCGGGGAAGTCACTGCACATGTAGACTGTATACAGTACTACACCAGTAGATGGTGTATTTCAGTCATGACTGAGACGGCTCTCTGGTTCAGTAGCCTATCTGAGTCTCTCCTTCACTGACTCCTTCCCCAACTCATTCACTCCTTCGGGTTTCTTGTTCAGAACGAAGACGAGAGACCGCAAGGAGTGGAGAGACTCGTTCATTATGGAGAGTGTTTTGCGACGATATTCAATAAAAAATGTGTCATTTAAATGATCATATTAGAAATGGTCGTTTAAATAATTATTTAAATGTGTCACTTAAATATTTTTTAAAAATCATTTAAATGACCGTTTAAATTATATAATTTAAATAATCCTAAATTTCCTTCTGGATAAAGTATCCCTATCTCTATCTATAATCATTAAATGGGATATTCATTAATTGAATATTGTCACAAAACACCCTCCATAAAGTAGAATTGTCTTCTCACATCAATCATTTTCAGTACACTGCCTTCGGTGATGCGAAATAACGTTATATAAATGCAAAATAAATAACATGAAATAAATGATGTAAAGCGAAAATGGATATTATTGGATGCAGGGCCGTGAGTTTCATATTAACATCGTGGAGGATCGATGGTTATATCGAGGTCAGCAGTGTGACATGACGTCGGCTAGAAGGCGGTTTTGTAGTACAGTGTATACAGTTTTTTTTTTTTTTGTAAACTATTGCTGTTATTGTTACAATATCCATCCATCCTCCAAACCGCTTACCCTTCTGGGTCGTGGGGGGTCTGGACTCTATCCTGGAAGCTACGGGCATGAGATGGGAACCCAGGTTGGGGGACCAGTCCATCACAGGGCAAGCTCATGCACCATTCACACCTATAGGCAATTTGGTAACTCCAGTCAGCCTCAGCATGTTTTTGGACTGTGGGGGGGGAACTGGAGTCCCCAGAGGAAACCCCACAGTGACATGGGGAGAACATGCCAATCCATACACATGTAACCCAGGCGGATACTCAAACCCTGGCCCCAGATAAATTGGAATTTATCTTTCCTTTTTAGTGTTATTCATCTTCAATATGGTAACACTGAAGCACAGGGTTAACTCCGTCGCCCTCCAGCTCCCTTCCTGCCCTTCCCAGGATTCCACTGGTCCCATCTCCTGCTCCAGATGTGCCGCCGCTCAGCCCAGCCTCATTCACCTCGGCCCCCAGTGCTCCACTCACCCCATCCTTCTGTGTCTCCTCCCCAGTCTAACCCCCCCAGCCTCTCATTCACCTCGGCCCCCAGTGCTCCACTCACCCCATCCTTCTGTCTCCTCCCCAGTCTAAACCCCCCAGCTTCTCGTCAACTCCGGTGTATTTCTACCCCTCAGTCTCTTCCTCCTCGGTCTCCTGGCCAGCTGCCCCCTCCATCTCCTTTAGTGCCCTTCCCTGTTGGTTCCCCTAAGCCATCCTGGTCCCTGCCTCAGGTTCCTGGGCCTATCCCTCAGTCCCTTAGTCCTGGCCTCAATCTGTCTATCCCTGGCCCTGTCCCTCAGTTCCCATGTCTTGGTCCCCAAGTTCTACCCCCAGCCATGTTCCCTCATCTGGTGTCCCAGTCCCAGTCCCTCTTGTTCACCCTATCTGTGTTTGTTCCCCTCCTGTTCGAGGTTCTGGTTCTATCTGTCCGATACCCTGGTTCTCATTAGTGGTTTCCATGTCCCCTCCTGTGCTGTTTGTTTTTTTCTTTCCTCTTTGTAGCCCTGGCAGTGCCCTCCCGTGCCTGGTTTTCACGTGCTCGGTGGGGGGTACTGTTAGAGTTGGTGCTCGTCCATCCCAGTCCTGTGTGTTGAGTCCCCGTTCGGCCAGCAGGCGTCGCTGGCCATCTCGTTCCCTCTGTCTTCATACTGGCCCCTAGTGTGTTTTCCTTGTTCCCCAGACCACTGCATAGCTCAGTAGGTTCAGCGTGTGGCACCAAGGCTGTAACCCTGCATTCATGGGTTTGAGGTCTCACCTGTTTTTCTAGTGTTTTAGTTTTGTTTCCTTGTTTTAGTTTATCCTATTTATGTCCATTTTAATTCCATTCTACTTCCTAGCGTTAGCCCTCAGTTGTGTGTCATTATTACTAGTGTTTATTTCCCAGCATGTAGTTCATTTTTCTTAGTTTTGCTATTTGTTAAAGTTCCCCAGTTTCTGTGTATGATAATTGTTAAATTTCTCTACCTGTGGCATGTTTTCCTGAACTGCACTGATTGGTTAATTGTACTGATCATTCACACCTGCCTTTTGTTTGTCCTCATTACCTGTGTATTTAAGTGTCTGCCATTGTGAATGTTACTCTGATAGATGTTACTCTGATAGATGTTACTCTGTGCCTTGCCACTTTGTAGGTTTGTTTAATCTCCTAGCCCCACTCCTGGTGTTGCACAGTTTGATTTCCCTAGTTTTGTGCTCTGTTTTAATAAATCCCTTTGTCTTGGAGCTGTAAGTGGCTTGTCACCCCCATGCCTTGCCGTAACAAATTCTGATTGTCGCTTAGTCCTGCTCCATGTGTTGTGATGTTCCCTAGTGTCATGTTATGTGTCTTTAGTTGGTTCTCTTTTCCCTGTTAGTTTCTGATCCCTCATGGTCCCTTTAATTTGTGCTTTTCTCCAGTGTTTTCTGTTTATTTAATAAACCCTTGTTGAGGACAGTCACCTTCTTCCCGCCTGCACCATGCCCCGCTGTGACAATGTGTGAAGGTAACATTTTGATTTTCTTATGACTTTACTCTTCTCTTAGATTAACTTAAAGACAACCTCTTTGCACAAAAACAAGGTAAAAAGTATATTTCATGTTACAAATTATGACAAATGAAACACTAACAAAATGACACATTTCCTTTAACAACTTTACAACTTTTAGTCTTTTGAAGACACACACAGATCGACATGCCTGCCAGCCAGCCAATGTGGGTAACGGATTCATCGATGGACTTCATACTGTACCTACGTTTTAGCAAGCATGTCCACTCTTATCTGTTATCTGTAATGTTAGTGTGCCCGGGGGGGGGGGGCAGCCAGTTGACCTTGGACCCCCAGAGGTTTTTTTTCCTTACTTGGGAGCTTTTGGTTCCTCTCCTTTCTTGTCTTCAGTCTCATTGTGAATTTTTATACCAGTGCACCAATGTGCATTGGTGAATCTTACCATTCTTAGTGTGAAAGGATAGGGTTTTAAAAAGGTTGTGGTACAAACTGGATCAAAAAGAGTTAAGAACAGAGAGTATCAGCTGGGAGGTTTGAAGTGGCAAACAGGGTTTTGCATACTGGTCCAATTATAAGCCAAGCAATTCTAAGACAAGGGAGGATTCCTTCTTCTTCAGGGAGTCAAAAAAAAGCTTTTTCAGCTCATCGCTGTTCAACACCTCATACAGCCTCCTCATCCTCTCCTGGCTGGTACTGGCAGCACGTATGTTATTGTACTTTTCCTCTCCAATGTGCTCATGGAGGTCGTCCAGTATGGGGTCAATCAGTGACACTTTTTGGATGATGGCTTTCCTGTGTTGGTCTACAAACGCCACACCTGAATGATGAGATACCACTTGACGATGAGCTGGGGAAAAAAAAAAATCACTGCTAATACAGTTAATAGGCCAATGATGGACTGAGACTAGTTGCAGTTCGGAGCTGTCACTGTGAATTTCAAAACGGGAACAAATTGTTTGCAAATGATACAATTATCATGTAATTGGCACTGACAGTATGCCTTTTGATAGATGAACTAAACATTGCTGAAATTAATCATTTGCTCTAAATAGATTTATAGGTGATGATTGGTATTCATTATGCAAAGGCTTCTGTAGCCCTACTGAGAAAGGAACCCGGACACAGTTCCTATTATCATCTGTTTAGGTTAAAACTGTTAACTTAGGTAAAGAATTTTCTGTATGTTCAGTGAGTTATGGGATGATTAAATCCATCTTTTGACCTCATGAAAATGTATTTGGATGCAGTGTGAATGTCGTTATGACATCAGAAAAGGTATAACGGGCTGAGCAGGAGAACCTCAATGCTACCAAAGCAGGAAGTGACACCAATGCCTGCATTAGAGATGCTGCCAATCAGCAACATCTGTGTGAGTCCAAACAATGACCCAGTTTGGGTTCTTTGTCCCAGTGTTCATGGTAATAAATCCTACCTACCTGTATCAGTCGTAGATGGTGATGGAGAAACAGCACCTGAAGGAAGAGACACCATCTTGGTTAAGGATTTCTTTGAGGGCTTTTTGGTTAGTTACCCTGAAATGGTGTCAGGTATTATTCCAGATGTTTGTGTGAATTCCTGTTAAATGAGGCCTTTCCTGTTTCTAAATGACATTAAGCAAACAGCAGAACGTTGCCTTTCACAGTGCAGTGAACAGGGAAGCATTTTCTCTAAGTTAGATCCACATGAAACATTAAGCAGTTAGAATCAGGGGGGCACACTGCCCACACTGGAATCTCTGCCCAGTGGTTAATCATGTTTGCTTGTCCTGATGGTCTCACACAGACCCATCTGTTTATTTCCACATAGAAATAGCACGTTATCACCTCTGAGGTTGACGATGCGCCGCCACACGACTTTACCGCTCTTCTCTTCCAAGACACTCAGCTCCACTTCCACCACGTCACGGTTCAGCTGTACCTCAAAAGTTGGGTGGATTGTTGGGTCAAAATCACATTCAAACTCTTCAATCTAGAGGTGAAGAGGGGAAATTGCTGGTGATGTTCTGAACCCTGTTTAAAAGTGTGAACTGTTCCTCACAAAGAGCCGAGGTGTGATTCACACCCCCAACCCTGGAGGTATGAGTCACCCTGGGGGCTTTAACTGCTACATTTAATTCACAGTGTATTTTGTACTTTTGTAAGTGAAATAACTGTTAAGACCAATCAAAAGTTTGAGCACACTTGCTGGAAACAAGGTTTTCATCGTTTTTTTTTTGTAAATGACAAAATGCTCTGCAACACCCAAAACATGGGGCACCAAAGCAGGCTTTAAAAAAATACTTCCTGGATTCCCCAGAACAGCCACCATTTGTCCTGATAACAGCCCCAAAACCATGAGGCATTTGGTTCAGCAGGAGATCACCTGACGTCTTCCAAGTCCTTCTGCAGCCGTTCCCAGAGACTCAGGGCACTTGCTGGTTGCTTTGACTCTTCTGCCTATTTCACCCCATACAGGATTAATGGGACAGAGGCCTACAGACTGGGAAGGCCCAGTCATTAGTGTAAGGTTCCCTTCACTTTCCTTGTTCCCCAGATAGTTATTGTACAATTCTTAGGTGTACTTTATGTTATAATCTTGCTTGAGAATGAAGGACTGCCCACTCAACCATATTCATTATAGAAGAGTGTTCCTCAGAAGTTAGTCTCAACTGTACATCAGCTGGCCAATAAAATCGACACTGACAGCCTCTTACTTGACATTGATAACTGCAAATGCAGAACTCATGCACTCACCCCTCTATGTTTTACAAATACATGGTAGTTGGACCCAATTTTGACACATTTGGCCATAAAACAGACCTGCACCCCTGTTAATAGACAAGGGTATACAGTTTAAAGCAGATAATTATGGTTTCAAGCTGGTGCACTCAAACTTTAGAGTGGTACTGTATGTCAGTTGGACATTGGATATATTAACACGTGTTCTTTGGTCGTGGTTTGGGTCGTCACCTCTGGCTGGATCCACCTTATTGCCTCCTCGTCACTGGACATCCTGTACCGCTCATTATGAATGAACGTGCACTTAGAGCTGGTAGGAATGAGAATGTTTTGTCTCTGTAGCTCCTGCTGGTGCACCTGCATTGTGTAACATTGACAATGAGAATTGTAACCTGTCCACTGGCTTATCCATCTTCATCATCCACAATGTCTTAGTTTTACAAAAAATGAAAAACCTTATAATAATGCATGATGCAATCACACCTCATTATGTAATAACAAAATGTAACAAGTTTTCATCCCATAATGCAGAGTTGTATAATAACGTGTTGTAACACACCAGAGATTAGTATTAATTTTTGAGCTTCAAATATTATCGGAGTGTCTGTGCTGGTCAGAGGGTGTGACTGGGTGGGAGACAGTGTGTGTGGCTGAGTACCGGTGAAACAATCAGGCATGGAAATGCTTACCTGGTCAGGAGGCACATTCAGGGGCAACAAGAACACATTCAAGATTTTATCTATGGGCCGGAGCAGCAGTAGCACTTGCCCTCGGACCACCGGGAATATTTTCCTCATTATGACAGTAAAAATAGAGAGGCCGGTGACGCTGATGACCACATGTGTGTCTGTCACCTCCTGTGGCCACAGAATCTCCATGTTGTCTTTGGTTACATGTGCTACAGCCAGGTTTTCATCTGGAAGCAAAACTGATTGATTCTTATGGGAAGAAGTAAGAAGCCTTCAGTTTGATTCCTAAGTCTCCCCTCTATACATTAAGAATATGTGATATTAGATAAAGCTGGAAGATTCACTTTCATTTTGCTTTGCTTTCATTCCTCCATTACGGGACATGCAGTTAGCACATGCCACACCCCAGGTAATGTTTATGTGACACTGTGCGATCGGTGTATGGTGTTCGGTAGAAGGAAATAGTTCCTACTGTACATTAAACTGCTCACTACAAAGTCTGTAGATTATCTTGAGTAACCAGGTTTCTGATTAGAGACATTACTATTTAATTTTCGAATGCATTTTTTTGCTGCATTAAAGACCACAGAAGAACCATTCAGTCCCATTTTATCTGACCGAAGCCTGACATTTCTACAGCCAATATCTCCAAAACTAGGCACCTCCCAGCAGAACAACCTATATGGATAAGTGGCACTAAATCCCTAATAAAACACACAGTATCTTTTATAGGTTTTGGGGTGAACTGCCCCTTTAAACAAAGCAAGTCACAGTCTTTCTGTAACCCAGAATTTGTAAACCATCCTGGCCAAGTGCGATAAGAAGCATCTGAACCTTCACATTAACCTGTAAAATTTACCTGCAGATGACATCTCACAGTGAGGGAGGTGTAGTTCCTTCAGGGTCCCTTGGGGACACTCGATGTTAAAAAGGGGCCCCGCCAGACCACAGTTGCCAAGGGCCTTGGGGGCTATTTCCCAGGAGCAGAAGCTGTAGATCACCTCCCCACTGGACTCCATCACAAACACCAAGCCTGTGACGCAGCAGAAGAACCTTCCAGGATGTTTTGCCTGAAACCTGTATCACAGAACCAAGGTTGGGGGAGAGACTCTGCCAGTGAACCCAAGATGGTAACATACTGAGTGTGTCCTCTGCACTGGAGATGTGATTTGTATTTGATGTGGTTAAAAGTCACTGGATGAGACAGCTGATGAATGCATGTCTTCATTATCCACTTGCAGGCTTCACACAGTGATGTGGAAGTTCAGTTACATAAGACACAGTAGAATTACCTGTATTCTCTCATGTTACTTGTTTCCACCACATCTGGTATAAATAAATGCTTGTTTCCCGATACCTGAAAAAAAAATTAAAATGATGGTGCTGACATTTTCATGACTGGGGACTTATGTTATCGATCATGTTACCTTGATTCAATCCCGTTTTCACAGTGATTCTGAAATTATCACAGTATCCAGCTTCAGTGCAATAGCCTCTCATTATGCATGTTGAATTTAAATATTTCAGTTCAGTCCATATGTTTGGCCTTGATTTTTCAATACTTGTTTCACCACTTCAGTCAAATCAAACAACTCACCAGTTCCGGCATCCAATTCCAGGCGACAGTGACAGAATGTTGCAGAGATGAAGGCTTCTCACTCTCCATCAATTTTGTTGTGTCTTCCATATTACTCCTGCATATTACAATTCATCATTAATACACGCTTGTGTACAAATACGTCCCACACATTTCACTTCCCAAAAGCCTTTTCTCTGTAACTCAAGAGCAGGTAGAACAGCCATTTGAAACACTATAATGCAGTCTCACTGCAGGAGAACTTTACAAGTAAGGATTCAGTTATCGGTGCTCCACTGGAAAAAGCTCTGAGAGGGTTTTCTAGTGTCTCTGGAGGGACAGACATCTGTTATAAGGAAATTTATAAAGGGGCAGCATGGTGGTTAGTGCTGCTGCCTCACAGCAAGAAGGTCCTTTCTGTGTGGAGTTTGCATGCTCTCCCCGTGTTCACGTGGGTTTCCACCAGGGACTCCAGTTTCCCCCCACAGTCCAAAAGTGTGGTTGATTGGCAACTCTAAATTGGCCCTGTAATTGTGTGTGTGTTCGTGCAAGTGGGTATATTTATCCTTATGGGGACATAATGTTCACAAAATGTGATAAATATCCATTTTTTTAAATATCCATTTGTTTATTTTATAAACATCGGTGACTGCTATGAAAAAACTAAAAATGCAAAAACTCTTGCATTTTGTTTGGTTACTTATGGTTATGGTTAGGGCTGGGTAGGGGTTAAGGTTGTCATACTGTAGTTAGCGTTAGCATTTATCCAATAGATGTGAATGAGCGGTCCCCATAAGGATATGTATACCCGACTATGTGTGTGTGTGTGTGCCCTGTGGTGTGTTGGCGCCTGCCCAGGGTTGGTTCCCGGCTGTGCCCCTTGTTCCCGTCCCCTCCGCGACCCCAGTTGGGATTAAGCGGTTACAGTGATGGATGGATGGAGGGAAATTTGTAAGAAGGTCTGGTCACACTTTATTTGAGGGGACATGCATAATGTAATAATACATTCTTGCTTATGCATTAATTAAAAAGTAACTAAGTGTTTGTTATGTACTGATCCATGTTTGTTCATCATTAATCAATCATGACAATTCATGTATTCCATTCAGGCACTTTATTAGTTAACAGTTAACTAATTGGTTACTAAAGGCAAGACTTCATTTGGGGCAAAAATTACAACTCATATACTACTCAAGAAGAAATCATGAACTAATATAGCTTTCCCCATGAAATACATTTGAAAATGACAATATTTTTAAAAAAAAGCATTTAAAACATGTTTATTATACATGAAGTTTAGATAAGTTTAGGAGGGCGTTTCAAACTGGTAGCCCTTCGTATGGCTCAGTACCCGTGAAGTAGCTCTCAGTTTCAAAAAGGTTGATGACCCCTGCTCTAGACTTTCATCTTTGCCTCCCAATGTATTGCTTTCACTTTCCCCAATGCAAAATGGGACACACACTCATGCACAGACATGCATGTGCATACACAGACATGCACACACACACGGCATGCCCATTGTTAAGGCGATAGTACAGTATGTACTGGCACACAGAGGTGGACATTTCAGGTCCAGAGAGTACAAATCCGGACCAAGATTTTGTTTCAACCAACCAGTTGAGTATGAAGAGTCACAGTCACAGAGTACTCAACTATTTGGTTGAAACAAAACCTTGGTCCGGATTTGTACTCTCGTGCTCTGCCACTGGCACGTGCAAATGTACTATGCCGTGGAAACACACACATGTATGCTGCGGTGGGTATGTCCACACATACTTAGTGCGGACACTGTCAAACACACATCACATACTTCACACCCTCACCAAGTTTGTCCATTGTTTGTTGTAGTTTATTGTTGCTTTATGCAAAGAAATGTCTTTGTACTAAATCAGTTGTTGTCTTGTGGTCATTCTGACCAGACAGAACCCAGCATACTATCCAAAGAATCACCAAAGGCTTCAGATAGATTTCTGGTAGTTGTTAGGATCAACTACTTTAGTTAAACTGATGGAATCTGTGTAATATGAGACTGATTGAGACTAATTAAAATACCAAATTATCACCCAAAACCAACAGCTACATCAAACTGAAAGACAGACTGGTAACTTAATGTATTTCATTAGCCAAAAAAGTGGATTTTTCTGCACAGATGGTGTGGGTTTTCCCTTTTCAAATCAAAAGTCAGGTAAGTGAAACATCCTATAAAAATATTCTGTCATTGTTCGGTAAAACTAACTCTTTACATTTACAGGAAAATGCAAAGGTTGCAGAGTGGAATACCCAGGAATAATTATATTAATATTGCCATTTTACAGTATGGAATATCCAGGAATTCTAACCTCAGTATCTCCAGTTTACAGTGTGGAATATCCAGTAATACTGACCTCACTATATCCAGATTACAGTGTGAAATGCCGAGTAATACTGAAACTGTATCCCTAGTTTACAGTGTGGAATACCCAGTAATACTGACATCAGTATCTCCAGTTTACAATGTGCAAAATATCCAGTAATACTGATCTTAGCATCTCTAGTTTACAGTGTAGAATACAAAGTAATACTGACCTTAGCATCTGCAGTTTACATCTGGGATCCTTCTGTACAAAAGAAATCAGCTTCAGTCCTGATTCTCCTGGTTGATTGTACCTCAGGTCCAGCTCTCTCAGGTGTGAGGGGTTTGACTTCAGAGCTGAAGCCAGGAACAAACAGCCTTTTCCCGAAACTCTACAGCTTGACAGCCTGCAAAAAGGAAATCTAAATATTGTTTTCTACAGCCATCTATTCACATGTACATGTCTATTGAACTGTACAAAGTCATTTCATTCTGTGTTAAAGGGAAAGACCAGAAGCAGTGATCAGCCTTCCGGAGTTTAGCGGCTGCTCATCTGAAAAGATGAATCTCTAACATAGTCATCAAACACTACTTACTGTAGCTCACCAATTAGTCTGACATTCCTGAACTGACTGTGAATTAACAGCTATAAATGAGCATTTCATTTCCAAACTAAACCATCATC